AGACGCTGGTCTCCTGGGCTCCCGGGCTCTGGCAGAGGTTTGGGAAGGTCTCCTATGCACTTGGCTGCACTTAAGTCTCCCAGGTCAAAGGATTTTAGGGTGACATTGTGAACTTCAGTGGGTGTCTCAGGGTAGTATTAGGAATGCAGGCCCCAATGCATTGCCATCTGGAGCATTGCAGCAACATGCAGAGGGTGCAGCATGTGTGGCCATAGGCACCAGCCAAGAACAAGGGCACATCTTATATTGGAGCAAGGGTTTCTTCTGCATCATTACCCATGTCCCTGGAGGTACACTAAAACTCCCAGCCCTGGGATGGAGGAAACTGGAAAAATGAGGTGAGGATCAAAGTACAGTAGGGGTTGTTTAGAAAGATGGAGGCTAAGAGAGATTGTACCACTAACATGCTGTGTAACTTCGGGAAAGCTACTCACCTCTCTGGACCTGATATTCCTTTTCTATAAAAAGGGAGGCAAAATTGGGGGGAAAGACTTGAAAAGTCAAATGGCTATAGGGGCCTATAGGGACACCCACATGAGGAAAGTGATCCAAGGGAGGGTGGTGCAAACCGACAGCTCAGGGATAGTGAACAGGGTAAGCCCTACGTGGCTTAACCAGTGCTGCCATGAGTAATAGCAGAGAGGATGAGAGACAGAGTCTCTAGTCCCACTATTGCCAACTTGGTTTTTTGAAAGACAGAAATCCAGGGTGCCTGGATGGCTCCGTTGTATGAGCCTCAGAGAAACTTGGAATGTAGGAACGTAGGAAGTATCTCCCTTGCCTGAGATACTTCAACACACAGGTATATTTCAGTTGGCTCCATGTTGTGATTCTTTTTAATTAGTTGCCAACTTTCAATATCAAAAGAACCCCCACCAATCTGGATTTCTCTCTTTTTTTTTTTTAAGATTTTATTTATTCAGGAGAGACACACAGAGAGGCAGAGACATAGGCTCCTGCAGAGAGCCTGATTCTCTGAGGCCCTTCTATGTGCCAGGCATCTACTATGTGTTAATGATACAGTGGTTTAGGAGACTGACACGTCTTTGCCCTTACTTTCTAGAAGAGTTTATTTTATTTTTTTTTAAATTTTTATTTATTTATGATAGTCATACAGAGAGGGAGAGAGAGGCAGAGACACAGGCAGAGGGAGAAGCAGGCTCCATGCACCGGGAGCCCGACGTGGGATTCGATCCTGGGTCTCCAGGATCACGCCCTGAGCCAAAGGCAGGCGCCAAACCGCTGCGCCACCCAGGGATCCCTCTAGAAGAGTTTAAAGTGCAAGATCTGGCTGCAGACAATTTTCTCCTCACTCTCAGGGGTAAGGGCCCCCAGCGAGCAGCCTGATGGGGGTGAGATAAAGGTCCATGCTTCCCATACCCACTAGATTACTATAATGATAGTAATTTTTTAAAAAAGGAAAACAAGTGTTGGGAAGGATGTGGAGAAATTGGAATCCTTCTACATGGCTGATGGGAATGTAAAATGGTGCAAAACAATCTGGCAATTCCTCAAAAAGTTAAACATGGAATTCCTGTACAACTCAGTGATTCCATTTCTAGGTATATACCTAAGAAATTGAAAAAAGGTTCTCAAACAAATACCTGTAGGCACATGCTTACAGTGGCACTATTCATAATAGCCAGAAGGTGGAAACAACCCAAATTTCCATCTACAGATGAATATATAAGCAAATTGTGGTATATACATACAATGAAATATTATCCAGCCATAAAAAGAACTGAAATACCAATACATGCTGTAACTCGGGTGAACTTTGGGCTGGAATGGGAGTGATTGCTTTAATGGGATCAGTGCTTCGAGATGAAACTATTTGAGGACCATACAGAGGTGGTGGTTGCACAACTCTGTGAATGTACTAAATGCCACTGAATTGTTAAGATGGCTACATTTATAAGGCTATGCCAATTTCAACTCAAAAAAATTTACAAATTGAAAACTACATAAAAGTGCTTTCCTAGGTTGGTTAAATTATAGTGCATCCAAACAGTGGAATAATATGTAGCCATTAAGAATATCCAAGGATAGGGACACCTGAGTGGCTCAGCGGTTGAGCGTGTGCCTGCAACTCAGGGTGTGATCCTGGAGTCCTGGGATCAAGTCCAACATCGGGCTCCCTGCATGGAGCCTGCTTCTTCCTCTGCCTGTGTCTCTGGCTCTCTCTCTCTGTGTCTCATGAATAAATAAATAGAATCTTAAAAAAATGTCCAAGGATATTTTGGGGCACCTGGCTGGCTCAGTTGGAGGATCATGCAGCTCTTGATCTCAGGGTCATGAGTTCAAGCCCCACGTTGGGTGTAAAGATTACTTAAATACATAAATAAACTTAAAAAATAAGTTGACAGGGATCCCTGGGTGGCGCAGCGGTTTGGCGCCTGCCTTTGGCCCAGGGCGCGATCCTGGAGACCCGGGATCGAATCCCACGTCGGGCTCCTGGTGCATGGAGCCTGCTTCTCCCTCTGCCTATGTCTCTGCCTCTCTCTCTCTCTCTCTCTCTCTCTGTGTGTGTGTGACTATCATAAATAAATAAAAAAATTAAAAAAAAATAAAAATAAATTGACAATTAAAAAAATCCTAGGAGATTTTTTTTTGGTAAATCCTAGGAGATTTTAATGACATGGATAAATGTTTATAATATAGGGCTAAGCAAAGAAGTAGGATGAAAATTGTATACCACAGCAGTTTACTGATTACGTTAAATAAAAAGCACACAGAAAAGACTACACAAAAGTAAACTAAAATATCTGTTATCCAAAAAACTTTTTTAAAAAGATTTTATTTATTTATTCATGAGACACACACAGAGAGAGAGAGAGAGAGAGGCAGAGACACAGGCAGAGGGAAAAGCAGGCTCCATGCAGGGAGCCTGACATGAGACCCGATCCCAGGTCTCCAGGATCACGGCCCGGGCTGAAGGCAGCGCTAAACCACTGAGCCACCCCGGGCTGCCCCAAAAAACTTTAAAAAGGAGTCATTCTTCCATTGTTTGAGTTTTTACCAAGTGTCAGGCAAATGAAGATCTTTGCTCTCCTGCAGTGGAAAACAGACAGACCTGGAACAGGGGGCCTGGGAGGTCAGCAGAGCCAGACTCTCTGTCGTCTCTGATCCAGACTACCTGGGTGACCCTTTCAGGTCTCAGTCCTCCTTGCACACAAGAGAGGTTCACAGATGCCCCCTCTGGAGACCCATCCAGCCACTCAGTGTTTTCCCAAGAAACGCCTGCACCCTCCCACCTTCACCAGGGCCATACATCCAGGATGGTCCCAGTAGAATAGTTTATTGTAGTAAAAGCCTTGTTACATGTCTGAATGTCCAACAACTGAGGGATGAGAAATAAGATAGGATGGTCACTTGCAGGAATGAATGAATGAGAAAGAATGAACTATGCATGCCTTTGTTTCTCATCCTGGCTAGACCTTGACAACTTAATGATAAGGCAAGGAATAGAAAAACGATATTGCAGAAGAATCTCACAGCTGGATAGCGTTTTTGGAGATCTTTAAAACACAGAAAAACAATTCTATGTATTATTTATGCATCCATATCTATGTCATAAATTCATAAAGGCACAGACTGGAAAGGACTATATTTCATGACTGGTTGCCTCTGGGCAGAGAGAAAAACAGGACTGAGAGAGAGACAAGTGGAGAGGCTTCAGTATTATCTGTTACTTTTAACACTTTTATTTTTTAAAAACCAGAGGGAAACATTTAATTCTGGGTGGTGGATTCATGGGATATTTACTATATTCTTTCTTTCACTTTTCTTTATTTTAATATCCCCCCCCCCAAAAAAAAAGGATAGTGAAGAGAAATCCATGGGATAAAGGAACCAATATCTATTGAAGTCTTTCTCTGTGCTGGCCAAAGGCTACAGCAATGGTTCTCAAAGTGTGGTCCCTGGACCAGCAACAGCAGCATCACCTGGGAATGTAAATTCTCAGATTCCCCAGCCAGACCTACTGAATCAGAAACTCTGGGGTCAGGGCCCAGAAATCTGTGTTTTAACAAGCCTCCCAGGTGTACTGCTAACATTTGGGAAGCACTGGCTAGACGGTAATAGCGATGACAATAGTTCACGAGTATTAAGCACCTATACCTGTGACCTAACGCTCCAAGAGCTTTCCATGAATAACCTAACCTAACCTTCAAAACGACCCTGGGAGGGAGTCATTATTATTAATATCCCTATCCTATAGGTGGAAAAGCAGAGGCCTAGGAAGACCAAATCCCTTGCTCAAGGTCAACAGGCAGGTTGCTCCCAGAATCCCACTTCCCCTTGCATGACCCCCACAGACTCCAGCTCACTGTAGCCTTGGAGAAAGAATTATAGCCCTATCTGACGGAGGAGAAAACTGGGATTCGGAGAGGGAGCACGACTTGGCCCAAGGTCTCACCGAAGCGGAAAGGGGGCGGGGAGACACCCTGTGGTCTGTCCAGGAGGTTTTGAGGTTTGACCCAGACCTGCTGGGGATCAGGGCCCAGCGCGGGAAGAGGAGGGAGCGCAGAGTGGGCCCAGCTGCAGGCCCGCCTGGGTGTGGTTCGCACCGCACGCCTACGGCCAGCTGTCCCCCTCCCCACGACGGGCTGCCAACCGCCGCCAACCTGCCGTGACCCGTCACCCACCCCCACCAGGGACCGTAAGGGCCTTCCCTTCTCGGTCTGTAGAGCCTCATCCCTTCCTTCTCGTTTTTCTCTTTTGCAGAAGGGGAACCTGGACGGCTCAGAGGAGCGGAGGCTGGACCGAAGTCCCTCGGGGGCCAGCGCTCCTCTCCCCTAGAGCTCCTCCAGGCTCGCACGCAGCCCGGCCAGCCCCGCCAGCCCGGCCCTCGTCGCGGGCCCCCGGTCCCACCGCGCGTCCGCCGCTCCCGCGACCGCCCCTTCCTGCCGCCCTCCACCGCCCTGCCCCCGCCACTGGGCTCCCCCCACCGTCCCCCGCAGCGGAGACCCTCCCGCTTCCGCCGTCCGCGCGCCACTCACCTGGGCGCCCGCTCCTCCTCCTGCGGGCAGCCCGGATCTTCGCAGCTCGAACGCCCCCCCAGCTCAGCAGCCCCCGGACTCCCGGGGCGCCCGCACCCGAAGGGAGACGGGCTGACTTTGGAGAAAAGGCAAAGGGCGGCGCTCTGAGGGGCTTGGGCGCCGCGCGGCCTCTCGGGCTCCCCTGGCGCTGAACCCCCGGCGCCCCCTCCTGCTCGCCTCTGGGCCTCAACGGTGCGCTGGGGCAGGGACCAGGGACTCGGTGGCACCCACAGGCCATCTGGGCTCCTTAGCCGCGCCCTGAGCGATGCTAACCCCACCCCCGTGTATCCTAACCCCGCCCCTGAAGACTCTAACCCCACAGCGTGGACTCTCATCCCAGGCCCTTCCTCTCAGCACCCTAATCCCACCGCTCAAGGGTTTTTTTTTTTTTTTAAACGCCGCCCATCAGAGGCTTCCATCCCTGCCCCTAAGGATCCTAACCCTGGCCCCGAAGGATAATAAACCTGCCCCTAAGAATTTTAATCCGTCCCCCAAAGATCCTAACCCCACGCCCTCTTCCAAGCACTTAACCTAACGCATTATAATCCCCGCCTCCCCAAACCTTAATGCGGTCGCCAAAGGGATTAAACTCGTCCTCCCAAGAACCGCAACACCGTCTCCTCCCAAGATCCTCGTTCTGCCCCCAAATGATTTTGAATTTCACATCTGAAGGATTTTTTTAGCCTCACCCATAGGAAATTTCTAATCCTGTCCCCCAAGGATTCTAATCCGGCCAATTGAAGGATTTTATCCCTTCTCTTCAAAGGATTCTGACCCAGCCCTCCAAATTCATAACCCTAACCCCAGGGATTCTAATCCTGCTCCCGAATAATCCCAATCTTGTTTCCAAAGGATTTTAATCCCCCCTCGGATTCCAATCCGATCCATCCAAAAATTCCAACCCTACCCTCAAGGACTTTAACTCCTCATCAAAGGATTCTAACGTGACCCACAAGGATCCTAAACCTTTACCTCGGCACTCTGGCAGGATTCTAATCCCCCGCCCCAAGCATTCTGATCGGTTTTCTCTACCACTCCAATCCTCTCTTGGAGCCCAGGCCCCTCCCCCACACCGTGTCCCAGGCCTTCCTGGTCCTTCTGTGGTCAGCGGTTTCCGCTCCACAGGCCCCGCGCTATTCAAACGGCAAGCAAAGTTTCTCACCCGCAGGCACCACCCTGGCTCATTCTTGGCGGGTTTCAGGCAGCTGGGAAGCTCAGAGGACTTTGAAAACTGAGGAGGCGGGATGCCCAGCTGGAGGGCACCTGGAGGCCCCACATGAATGAGATGTGCCCAGCACCAGGCAAGGGCAGAGCACAACTGCTTCTGGAAAAAGAGCTATTGTCGCACTAAAGTCTGCCAAGCACACTTACAAGATGTGTAAGAATTTTACAGCTTTTCTGTATTCCCTCTGTTATCAGCCATTTCAGGCCACCGTCATCTCTTCATTCACTCATTCATTCATTCAGCAATACTGTGCTGAGTGCTGGGCTACACAGGGTTTCTCAACTCCAGTACTGTTGACATTTGGGCTGCATAATTCTTTGTTATGGGGTGGAGGGACTGTCCTGGGCATGGGAGGATGATGACCAGCATTCCTGCTAGGTCATTGTCTACACCCTCCACAGTTTATTTGTCAATTCCTATAGCTATGGACACCTAGATGGCACGCAACTTTGCCCTAAAGACCTGTGTAAGGATTTTGTAAAGACTTGCTTTGCCAAGAATGATGAATGCTTGCAGAATGGCTGCTGCCAAAATTCTCCTAACATTTCCCCACATTTAAGAAAATTTAAATTCGGGAACCCTGGGTGGCGCAGCGGTTTAGCGCCTGCCTTTGGCCCAGGGCACGATCCTGAAGACCCGGGATCGAATCCCACGTCGGGCTCCCGGTGCATGGAGCCTGCTTCTCCCTCTGCCTATGTCTCTGCCTCTCTCTCTCTCTCTCTCTGTGTGACTATCATAAATAAATAAATAATTTAAAAATAATAATAATAAAAATCTTTAAAAAAAAGAAAATTTAAATTCAATTAATTAACATATAGTGTATTAGTTTCAGAGGTAGAGTTCAGTGATTGATTAGTCTTATATAATACCCAGTGCTCATTATATCACATGCCCTCCTTAATGTCCATCACCCAGTTACCCCATCCCTACAATCCCCTTCCACATTTCTCCACATCATGATTGACTCTTGGTACCATCCATTAGTCCTTTTTTTTTTTTTAAAGAAAGGATTTTATTTATTTACTTGAGAGAGAGAAAGCAAGAGATGGAGGAGGGGCAGAGGGAGAGGAAGAAGCAGACTCCTAGCTGAGCAGGGAGCCCAACGTGGGACTTGATCCTAGGACCCTAGAATCATGACCTGAGCCAAAGGCAGATGCACAACTGATTGAGCCACCTAGGCACCCCTCATCCATTAGTCTTTAATTTGAGTTCCCCAGAAGCAGACCCTAGACATGGATTCAAGTGAAAGTAGTTATTTGGGAGACGCAGAAAACACTGGTAGGGGAGTAGGTGGATAAGACAAGACAGGGAAGAAAGAGAGCATTGTCAACCAAGTTATAACTGTGGGCTCCTGGAATTCACTCCTGCTGGAGAGGGAACTCCGGAGACAGTGTATTATTCCCAACTCATTGTTATCCTTCCTGGAAGTTGAAAGAGATGGGGCATTTATGTACCAACTCCTGGCAGAGTTGGATGAGGGATGATCCCAGGAGGTACTAATCCTTCAGCACTCCTAGCCTGCTCCATGCATGCTCCAGTCACAAGAGAGAGCCTCCAGGAAGAGAGATACATGACTGGAGACACGAAATGGTCATCATTAGCATCAGCTACACCTTCTTCCACAAGTTTGTCATTCTGATGGCAAAGGACCACAGTTGAAACCTTCTTCTCTTAACAGCCAATTCCATCTCCCCTTTTTTTGCTATTGAAGTAATGCTGCAATAAAAGTCTGTGCATGTGTTTCCAAAGCTCCTATCAACTTTACTGAGGCACAGTTTTATACATAAAATGCACTATTAAAATATTCAGCTTGATGAGTTTTGGTAAAGGGATACACCTGTGTAACCCCACCCTAATCAAGATATAGAACATTTATAGCACTCCAAAGAATTCCCTTATACCCTATTGCAGTCAATTTCTCCCTGCTCCATCGCCTTAGATAACAAGTGTTTGGCTTTTTGTCATTATAAATTGGCTTTGTTTTTTCTATAATTTTATATAAATACAATCATACAGTGTGTTTCTTTCATGTCTGTCTTCTTTCACTTACATATCGCTTTTGAGATTTTCCATGTTACATGTTGCAGTATTTTGTTCCCTTTCACTGCTGAATAGTATTCCATAGTATAGATGTATCACTATACACAATACTATATAATAATAATACTATATAATATACATAATATCTATAATATATATCACTATATAATACCAATAATACCAATAATTTGATAATTTGGTATTATTATTCTTTTTAATTAAAACATATTTCCATCTAACTCTTATTCGCATCATAGAACATTTATACAATTACAAATTTTATCCTAAAACATTGCCTTACCAGTACTGGGGCGGGGGGCAAACATTTTATCTATTCATTCACTCATTCGTCTTGCAGAACATAGCTGTCCACAAGAAATAGTGCTAAATGCTGCATCTTTGGAGCCAGTCTGGAGTTCAAACCTTGGCACAGCCATTTATCAACTGAGTGATAGTGAACAAATCAATTAGCAATAATCACACCTCAGATAAACCTCATTGGCTATGACACTGCCACTACGTGAAGCTTGATCTTGAGCAAATCAAATCACCCCTCAGGGTCTTAGTTTTCTCATCTCATCAAGTGGAAATAATAATAGTATTTATCTCAGTGAATCATTGTGAAAAACAATTAACATCTTATGTGCAAGGGTGATAAGATTACAAGAAAAATAAATCAGGGCAAGAGAGTGGGATGTAATTTGAGACAAAATGGTCAGGGAAGACCTCTCTGAGGAGGTAGTGTGTAGCAAGACCTGCTGAATGGGGGAGTGAGTCATGTGATAATTGGAGGGAAGCATGTTCCATGAAGAAGGAACAGTAATGGCAAAGGTTCTGAGGTGCAACTGCGCTTGGTATGTTTAAGGAATAATGGATCCATGTAGCTGGATCAGAGTAAGTGCAGAGGAGAGTGACGGAGATGATGTTAGAAAGGTAGTGAAGTCAGATTGTAAGGCCAAGAAGTCTTGGTGTTGATATGAGACTTTAATTGACACAAGATGGGAGCCATTGAAGGGTTCTGAGCAGAGGAGTAAGCCACACTGTGTTTTAATAGGATCTGTCTGGCTGTTGGGTGGAGAATGGATTGGAGAGGCATGAGGAAAGCAGAGAACTCAGTGAGCAGGATGAGGCAGTCATTCAAGAATAATATGATGATGGCATGGGCCAGGGTGGTGGCAACTGACAGTTGTCGGAGCTCAGAGAGACAAAAGAGCAGAATATCTGAAGTCTCAGTCAATACTTTCCTTTTTTACTAGAAAATGACTGGAAATAACCTAAGATATCCATCATTTGGGGACTGGGAAAATAAATAATGATACAATAATGGAGTACCAAGGTGTTGTCAAAAAGAAAAAGGATGTATAAAAACTAATTGTATGTATGTTTGTATGTATTTTTGGGGGGAGGGGAAGAAGGAGGGGGAGAGCAAGAATCCTAAGCAGGCTCCAAGCCCAGCACAGAACCCGACGTGGGGCCTGATCTCACAACCCTGAGATCACAGCCTGCGCTGAAATCAAGAGTCAGATGCTCAATTGACTGAGCCACCCAGGTGCCCCACAATGAACAATCTGAAAATAAGGTTAAGAAAACAATTTTTTTTAAGATTTTATTTATTTATACATGAGAGACCCAGAGTGAGAGGCAGAGACACAGACAGAAGGAGAAGCAGGTTCCATGTAGGGAGCCCGACGTGGGACTCGACCCCAGGAGCCCGGGATTACACCCTGAGCCGAAGGCAGATGCCCAACCACTGAGCCACCCAGGCATCCCAAGAAATCAATTTCATTTAAATATTACCAAAAAGAACAAAATGCTTGGGAATAATTTTAACATAAGTTGTGCAACATCATTCAAAAACTTTTAAAAACGCCCTTGAAAGAAACTGAAGACCTAAGCAAAGTCATCTCATGGGATAGGAAAGATA